TACTGCCATTAGCAGGCCATTAGAACGCCTCAGTTCAAAACCTCCTTGAGCAAGAAAATAACTTTAATAGCTTAAGAGCCTGGGGCTGATCTGGGATTGCAGTCTGTCTACTGCCTGCCAGCTCTGTCTGCTCCTCTGATTTCTCTGAAGTCAGTGTGCCAGATTGCTCAAAATTTCACTTCACTATAATCTGATGTTGTTTCTTCTGCCTGAATAGGCTTTGGGTGCTGTCGTGCCATTGGACCATAAGTAGACCTTAAGGATGAAAACATTGAGCTTTCTTGTAACATAATAAAAATTTGCAATTTCAAAGCCCTCTAAGATTTGTAAAGCACTTTCCTCACAACTACCCTGTGTGGTACATAATGCAAGTATGAGTATCCCATTTTACAGATGATGAAACTGAGGCACAGGGAGACTAAGTAACTGGCCCATGGTAACACAGCTAGTAAGGGAATTAAGTAAGATTCAAATCTGGGTCTCATGATGCTGAATCTGTCACATCATCCACTATAATATTCTGACCCTTCCAAAGCCTAGAAGTAAATGTCACAGCCCTCTGGTAGTAAGGCCAAGTTGAGTACCAGAGATAAGAATGATTTAGGGCTGGAGGGGGCTTGGAGAGCACATAATCTAGAATAGGTTCATGTCTAGGTTGGGTTTCAGTTTCCTATCTCTAAAAAGGATTTAATCATAATGCATCATCACATGGGGTATTATAAGAGTTTACATATGTAAAAACACTCTAACCAATAAAGTTCTATGAAAATATATGGGATTGTTATGTAAAATCATGGAAATCATAGAACATCAGAACTAGAAGGAAGCTGAGAGTGCACCTGGTATAATTGCCTCATTTAACTAACTGAGGTCCAGAGAGATGAAGTGATTATTCCAAGGTCACAAGGCAAATAAGTGACAGAACAATATTAATACTCAATTTTTTCCATGGCATTATAATGGTTCTTAACCTTTTTTGTGTCATGGACCCTTTTCACAATCTGCTGAAGTCTATGGACTCCTTCCCAGAATAACATTTTCAAATAATTGAAGGAAATACTTAATTTCAGTTAGAGGTGAGTAAAAATAATGATGTAATCTTTTTACCATTCAAGTTCACAGACCCCCTGAAATCTATCCATGGACCCCTAAAAAGCATTTCTTTTAGACATTATGAATGGCTGTATGGAGCATGGCTTTTATCTAGAACTAAAGTCACTGTTTTTTATGAAGCATCTTGATCTGAAAATGTGGCAGGTTGAAGTCATGCCAACAGCACCAAAGGGGAGAAAAACATTACTATTAAAGTACCAAGGGAATTATGTTCAAAAGTCCAGCAATAAAGGGGAAAAAATGGTAGAGGATTTGAAAAGTAACTACAGAACGAGGGGTTACAACATCTCCCTAACAAGGTTAACTCCTCTACATGTGCCCTTGATCCCATTCTCTTTCACCTTGGGAGTTAGTTCTATGAAGTTTCCCTCTCTTTTTCTCTCCTTTTCCATCTTTTACTATCTAATGACCCCTTCCCAGTTGTCTACAACCATGCCCAGTCCTCCACCATCCTCAAAGAATCTTTCATTTGAGCCTTGCATTTCCTTAAACTATCATTCTATATTAATCCTTCCTTCCAAAGCCAAACTTCTAGAGTTTGGTTATCACCACTCACTATCACCAACTCACTTCACATCTCCCTACAATTTATTTTTCTCCTCTTTCCCTCCCTGGACTACTCAAATACCTTTATAATGACCTTTTTTTAGTCTTCTTCATCCTTGACTCCCCTCCCCTACAGTGTACACACACACACACACACACACACACATATACACACATACATGTATATGTATAGATGTGTGTGTCTGTGTATGTATATCCACTTCTGAATTTCCTTTGTTGGATCATCCTCTATCTGTTACCCCTTAAGCAACTTTCTAACCCAAGGCCCCATTCTGGGTCTTCTTTATATTCTGTTCTCTCTGGTGGTCTCATCAATTCCCATGAGTTCATTTATCAACTCTATACAGATGACTCTCATATCTAGATATTCAATCATGGTCTTCCTTCAGAATTAGATTCTTACATTACCTTCAGCCATCTCCACTTAGATAATTTATCACCTTTCCCCCTAAATTTACCCTTTCTCCAACCCTCCCCCCACTTTTGTCATGGGTACATCCTAAACAGTTCAATTTCCTTAAAAAATGCCCCTTCCTAATCTCCTAATCTACCAGTACTACCATCCTTTCAATCACACTGGTTCTTAACCCCAGCATCATCCTTTACTCTTCCCTTTCCCTTATCCCCAGATAATCCAAATCTGTGCCCTCAGAAGCTGAAACTGCTACTATCAAGCCATCTTCCTTAGCACACTAATAAATTTATTTTCCTATCAATTTGACTGCTCATTTCATTTGACCTCCAGTCTTGAGGAACTATTGGCAGATGAGATTCTCCGTGAGCTCCCCGAGGAACCCAGACTGAGAAAGTCCCTCGACGAGGATAAAGGACTATTTACTCCACTTTTGTTGTTTTATCCTTAACATTTTAACAGCGCCTTGCACTTAAGGAGGCACTTAACAAATGTTTGTTGAACTGAATTGTGAGCTGTATAGTGTCACACAAATAGTTGCTATTACAGTAATAGATTGAGCTAGCAAAGTAACACGTGAAGCTGGAGACAGTTCACAGGTAGTCTCCAGTATGCATTTTCAAGAAAATTTAAATAGACTTAAGAGCAACTGCCCCATTCCTGGTCTACCTAGGGCTCATTTAAATTAGAGGTTTTCATATCATATTCTCTGGGTTTGATTTAATTCAACCAACATTTACTTCTGGCTTCGTTCCCTTTATTCCTATTCCTCAGATTGGCACTAAATACGACATTAAAGAGGAGCTTTTTCAGCACACAACAGGAATAGATGTAGGTGGCACTATGGATAGTGCTGAGCCTAGTCAGGAAGATCTGAGTTCAAATGTGGCCCCAGACACTTATTAACTGTGTGACCCTGGGCAAGTCACTTAATTTCTGCTTGCCTCCATTTCCTCATCTGTAAAATGGAGATGATAATAGTAGCACCTACTCCCCAAGGTTGTCAGGAGAATTGAATGAGATAATAATTATAGAATGCTTAGCATAGTATCTGCACATAGTTAGTGCTACATAAATGTCAGTTATTATTAGTTAACGAACAACTGGAGGGGAGGGGGTTGAAATGAGAAGAAGAAAGTCTTGTGCCCTCACATTAACTTCCATTCCTAATAGGCCTTGGCAGATGGGTGGATGGAGACCCCTTCTCTTTGTCAGCTTTGCACTTCAGGCTGAGCTGGGTTAGTCACTCCTCAAACACATTAAAACTGACAGAGACTATGTTACTGGTTGATCCCATTGGATTAAAATCACAGTTCCCGATGCAGAATGACATCCCTTTTAAACAAACCCTTATTTTGTTTTTAAATGAGGCCATTAAAAGTATGTTTCTACATCTCACCCTGAACCAAAAAAATAAAGAACATCAAAGTCTGCATTAAATCCCCATGATCACAATCACCAGACTTGAAAATGTAGCCAACAGATGTCAGAAGTTCAGCCCCTAGGAGAGTTATTCTATTTATCATTCTGAAGTCACTTGCCTTAGCTGTGCAGGAAACCAATCTGGTGTGTGTATCGAGTCTGCATTCGTTGCTTACTAAATTAGCAAAATATATGGTTATAGCATTTCAGAATCTTAGAGTTCAACTGGTCTGGGTAGGCAAATGAGGTATAGTGGAAAGCTTCCCAAAAGACCTAAATTCTAGTGACCTGATGCAAACCACTTAACCCCTCATGCCTTGGTTTCCTGATCTGTAAAATGAGCAAACTGGATTTCAGAGGTCCTTTGTGATTCTAGATCCTGTGATCAAACCCCTTTATCTTACAGATAAGGAAATTGGGCTAGGCCTAGAAAAGTAAAGCAAAGAAAAAAAGAAAGAAAGAAGGAGAGAGAAAGAAAACATTTTATTTGCTTTTGATCTGTTCAGTCTGGATTAAATTTCAACCAGGGGATTTATTCTATTTCTAGGCATGTATATTTTGCCTGGTTTTTCTGTAGTCCCTCTCCAGGCACTTCCAAGCACAAAATTGCTTTGCAAGATGCTGGGTAAATCAAACCATCTACCTGTCACTAGATACACCACACTCCCCTTTAAACATGAGAAGCTGATACTGCATAAAACAGAGCTAGGAGTCCTGACAATGCTCTTCTCCCCCAAACCCTTGAGCTAAAGGTAACAGGAGTAGATTGACTATGCTTGAATACAGAATAATTTAATAAGTGAGTTTCATTTAATATGGGGAATAGCCCCTTTCCATTGATTATTTTCTTTTCTTTATAGGCTGGAAAATACACAGATGGGCTCTTTTTCTCAAGGGTATATTATCATTTCAAAGCCTCACAAAAAGCAAAAAAGACTCATAACAGCAAGGAATGTTGCTTATACAGCTCCATATTCTGAAAGAGATAGTCTTCCCAAAAAAGATAAGAGAAGACATGGAGAGATGATCAAGGTTATTTCTCTGATAGCATGCTGAGAGGTACTCTGATCCAAAACCCATACAGGAGTTATTTGAGCTGTTTCTTGTTTTCTTGAACTAGGCTAATGAAACAAACCAAAAAAAAAGGAAAAAAGTCATCAATATAAAGATTTCAGGTTTTCCCTCCAGGAAGTCTGGTATTTCTAGTGACTAATGAGGATCAGTCAGTCAGTGGCCTCCTGAGAATCCCTAGATGGTTGGCAGCATCTCCCTCGGTTGAGAAGTTTGGGCTTTCCTAGGACCATCTGCTCTCACTTGAAGCTAAAGGATGCCTTCCATTTGAGATTACTGCTGTCAACTTAGTTTAAAATATACATGGGTAAAGTATATGCCTATCTTGCTTGCCTGGGAAGATGTTGGCATGGAGAAACATAGTCTGCTGGTTGATGCCTTAATTTTACAAATTATTTCTTCTCTTTTTCCTTAGTTACTGTGACGGTGGGAGGCAAGCAGCACTTGCTTGGACTTTATGACACAGCAGGACAGGTATATTTTTATTATCTTGATTCTTTATAGGTTTTTTTGCGTTGGGGGGGGTTGGATTCTGTCATTACTAGTCACATAGGTACAGATAGCCCTTTCCAAGGAAGATAAAAAGAGAGTAGACACTACCTTTTTTGCCAGTTTGCTACTTATATATTGACTTCTTTGCTGTTGCCTAACTAAGCACTCCAACTTTTATCTCAGTGCCTTTGCAATGGCTGTCCACCATGCCTGGAGTTCACTCCCACCTCACCCACCATATCTTGGAATCCAGAACTCCCTCCAAGGCTCATTTCATGTGTCATCTCCTATGAGAAGCATATCTCATATGGCAGCTAGGTAGCATAGTGGATTAAAGCACTGGGCCCTCTAGTCAGGAAGACCTGAGTTCTAATCCAGCCACAATCACATATTAACTATGTGACCCTAGATGAGTCACTAAACCCCTCTTTGCTTCAGTTTTCTCATCTCTAAAGTAGAGATAATAATAGCATTTATTGTGAGGATAAAATGAAATATTTGTTGGTAAAGAGCTTTGTAAACTTTAAAGCACTATGAAACTATAAGCTATCTTTATCATTATTATTGTTTTTGTTATGATTATTATTTTTTTAATTTCCCGATTCCCTTGTTAGTGCCCTTTCCCATCTCCTTACTTTATCTTGTATATACTTATCTGTTCTCATGTTGTATTCTATCAGTAGAGTATAAACTCCTTGGAGTCAGGGACTGATTTTCATTTTGCCTTTATCCCCAGCACCTACCAAAGTATTTTGTACATAGTACACAATTAAAAAGTTGATTGGGTTGGACATTGGTAGCTTACATTCACAAAAGACTTTTGAAGTTTAAAGCATTTTTTTTTGCTAGTCAAATTTTGTCTTTATTAACAAATGACATTTCCAAAGCCATTATATTGAGATTGGGAGCAGGAAATTGGGTGAAGAGGCTATTTGCTGCTTATGCTATGCACAAATGAAAGCAAGGTAAAGATGATGGATGAATGAGTGCAATAATCAGCCTCATTCCCCATCTTTCCCATCAAGGAAGAACATTGGAGAAGAAGAAAGGAGGGATAAGATTGGAAAGGTGGGGAATATTTTGACTGGCAGCCCCCCCCCTTATTCCCTGAAGGTGGAGAGAGATGATGAAAGAGCTTTCAGAGAGTGATGAGGAAATGATCCCCATGGACCATCACCTCCTTCCCCTGGAGTGACTGGTGACATCCCCTTCTAGGTCACTATGCCACTCTCTAGGGTTAGGTAAATTCACTGGAGAATCAATCCCCCTGGCATCCATAAAAACAACCCCACGAGATAAGTGTTGCAAATATTATTATCCCCATTTTATAGATGAGGAAACTGAGACTCAGAGAACAGAAAAGACTTACTCAAGATCAAAAACTAGGCAACAAATCTGGGACTCAAATCAAGGTTCTTTAAAGGCAAAATTGAATCTGCTCTTAGTTTCACTATACATCAGAGCCTCCAAGGAGAACATTCTCCCCATGAGAGAATATCCTCTTATCAAAAAGAAATAAGTAACTAATACTATTTCATAATCTGATAAGTAACTCTGGATCATCCCATGTGTTAATTGGTAAATGAATATTGTTCTTTGGTTAATGGGCATGACTATCTGAAATCCAAAGATAACACTAGAAAGTAATTTGGTAATAATCTTCTTCTACCAAAACTTTTTTCTAGAACTAAGAACAGAGAGTGAACTTGATTGGTTTGGGTTTATCTTCCTTTGTCCCTATTCCTCATTTTGCATCACTCAGATGCTTTCTGCCACTATCTCCTTCTTCACCTGTCTCATATGAAGAGGCAGCCATTTCCCTTGACAAGGTAAATCCTCTACATGCACAAATAATCACATTCTATCCACTCTTCTCCAGCATATTGTCCTATCATTCCCTACTCTCTCACTAATCTTCAATCTCTCCCTGCCTACTAACTGCTTTCCTACTTCCTATAAACATGCCATGTCTCCTCCGTCCTCAAAAAACCCTCCCTTGATCCATCCATCCCTACTAGCTATAGTCCTATCTCTCTTCTCCTTATATGGCTAAACTCTCTGAGAAGATTGTCTACAATTAATCCTTTCCTTTCATTCTCTTCTTAACTCAACTCTTATTCTTTTCTGAACTAATGATGACTTCTGAATTCATCCTTCAACTGAAACTGCTCTTTCCAAAGTTAACAATCATTTCTTAATCACAAAATCTAATGACCTTTTTTTCAGTCTTTATCCTTCTTGACTTCTCTGCAGTCCTTGACATTATTGATCATCATGTTTTTTTTATGTTTTCTCTTCTCTCGAGGTTTTCATAACACTTCTTTCTCCTAGTTCTGCTCCTATTTGTCAGACTACTCCTCAGAATCTTTTGCTGGATCTTTATCCAGGTCATTCTCACTTACACCCCCAGAGTTGTGACTGAGGCTCTCTTCTCTTCTCCTTCTATACTTTCACTTGGTAATCTCATCATTTCCCATAGATTCAATTATCAGCTTTCTGCAGATGAATCTCAACTCTACTTATCTGGGCTTAACCTCTCTTCTAACATCCAGCCTCACATCTCCAACTGCTTTTTCAATATCTTGAGCTAGATGGTTTGCAGACATCTTAAAAATTGAAGTCATTATCTGCCCCCCACCTAACCACCCACCAGCTGCCTTCTCCCTAACTTTCCTATTAGTATGATAAGAGAGTATCAAAATCATCCCAGTCACCCAAGCTGGTAACCTACATGTCATTCTTGACTCTTCACTCTCTCTGCTCCACCCCCCATATCTATATCCAATCTGTTGCCAAGTGCTATAGGTTTTGTTTTCATAACATTTCTGTCATGTGTGCCTCCTTCTCTCCTCTGATACTGCTTATCACCTTTGTGCAGCATCTCATCAGCATATGCCTGAACTATTGCAATAAACTGCTGATTGGTCTTCCTGCCTCAACTTTCTCCCCATTCTGGTCCATCCTCCACTCAGTTACCAAGCAGATCTTCCTAAAGTAGAGGTCTGACACCCTCTCTCCATTCAATGAACTCCGGTGGCTCTCTATCACTACCAGGATCAAACAGAAAATTTTCTGGCTTTTCAAAGCCCTTTATAACCTGCTCTCCCTCTCTCTCTTTACTCCTTCTTATACCCCACACTCCTCTATATACTCTTCAATTCAGTGACACTGGACTCCTTACTTTTCTTCCCACGACACCCCATCCCCCAACTCCAGGCATTTTCACTGGCTGTCCCCAAAGCCTGGAATTTTATCTTTCTTCATCTCTTCCACTTAGCTTCTCTGCCTTCCTTTAAGTCTCATCTAAAATCTCATTTTCCACAAGAAACCCTTTCTAAATCTCTTACAATGCTAGTGTTTCTTGAGTCTCTCAAATTATATATATATAGTATATGTATATATATATATGTGTGTGCATAAATGCTATGTATGTTTATATGTGTACATGTGTATATATGATATGTGTGTATACGTGGTATACACATGTGGTATGTGTATATATGGTATGTGTGTGCATGTATGTATATGTGTTTTTATACATGGTACATGTGTGTATATATCTATATCTTGTCTGTTTATAGATATTTTCATGTTGTCTCCCCCATTGGACTGTGAGCTACTTGAGAGAGCAGGGACTACCTATGTAACAGTTTGGTTAAAGGGCTATGTATTGAAGGAGGACCAGGAGGCACCAGGGAAGAAGTAAAGGAGAGAAAGCAGAGAAGGAATTTAATTCACTTAGGGCAGTTTATGACTTTGGCCCAATTTCTCGCTTAGATTTTTTTTTTTTCTTAATCATATGTCCTGGGTCACTTATTTAGGTCAGAATCATCAGGCTATTTAATCTGTCCAAATTCATACATCTTAAGTCCTTTGGAGTAAATGCTTAGCCATGCTTCTCACCCACTGGGAGTTTCCTAGTAATTGTTATTTGCAGTCTCATATACTCGTCTCAGCCTTTTTTTCACAATTAGCTAGAATTGTGCCTTTTTCCACTTACATTTACAAGTCCCTTAGGAGAAGAAGAAAGAGATATCAATTAAAGCCTGTGTATCCATTCTGTGAAGAGCGCCGCCTATCAAGGAGCATAATGAATGGTTTAAGGGGTGGGAAACTAAATGAAGTGCACAAATCCAAGGAACACAGTGGTCACAGATGCACCTTGGGAGTGATCAAGGACCGTGGAGCTCATCTGGTCTAAGTGCCTCATTTTATAGATGAAGAACCTGGGGCCCAAAGACAGAAGTGACATCAGTGCCTAAAACTGCACAGCTAGTAAGGCACCCAACCAAGTTCTTCTGAATGTAAGTCCAATTGTCTTTCCAAGGCACCAACCTCCACAGCAGTGAGTGACTCCCATGTAGGGGGACAGCAAAGGGGAGGGAGTGGGGAAGATAAAGGATGAGGGAATTCCCTCAGATCGGCAGCAATAACTCAGAAACTGAATGTGTATATGCCCTAAAGAACAACAGGGACAACAGTGGGGCACCTCCTTCGGTCTCAAAGTTCATATACTTAACAGAAAATAGTATAGTATTTAGTTACTTCTTTAAAATGGGAGCTCTTTGATTCTTTGAATGGAAGAACACCAACTCCAGCTCAGAAGAGCAGCTATTAAGAAAGTAAAACTGAGGGTAGCTAGGTGGTGCAGTGGATAGAGCACCAGCCCTGAAGTCAGGAGGACCTGAGTTCAAATCTGGCCTCAGACCATACACTTGACACTAACTGTGTGACCCTGTGCAAGTCACTTAACCCCAATTGCCTAAAAATTAAAAAAAAGAAAGTAAAACTGAATAACAATTATGTATTTTATTTTTTTTAAATTTATTAAGGGTTGTGTTAGTAAATGTTTAACAACCAATTCTGCAAGACAAAATTTTAACTTTAATCTATATTATTCATCTTTTCTTCATCACTTTCTTAAGTCTAGACAATTCACAAAACAATGAATGGAGCCCTGATTTATAGCCTTTGCTGATTTC